CAATTCTATCGAACTTCGGTTTAGACTTCAACTTTAGGCATAATCACAAGTCGATTGTTGCCTTAGACACTTCTTGAAATCCTTACGTTTTATTCTAAGTTGGTGAAATTCCAGACTTAATCTTCACCCTTTCACCTTAGGATAACAATTTTATCCTCTCATCTAAGACAAAAACATCCAACACACAAGGCTGTCCATTTATAAAACATGTAGCATACAACAGATAAGAAGCATTCAAAATTCGAATTCCAAAAGCATACAAAAGATGCAACGAATCAGGACACGAGCACTTACATATTGGTAACCACCGCATGTGTTTGACATGTGACTTTGCTGATTGGATTTCGGTCCTTTGCTGTATTTTCCCTCAATATTTTTGGATCCAATAAAATTTCTAAACATTATATAGTCATTATCTCATCAAAGTCCACCCGAATCCATCCGCACATTTTCCATGCATGCGCACTACCGACGTCATGTCGCTGCCTTGCTTTGCCATGTTAACTTTTAATCCACTTGTGCCATCCTTGTTTTCTTGCTATATTTCAATCATAATTGACTATGGTTCAATTTAGTTCATCTCAATTTTCTCGCATTTGACCAGACTATGTGATTTTCACATGCCAACGTTGTTCACAATCGATGTCGTCCAGAGTCCAAATCATGTCATGTGTTGTTGCCTAGCCAACGCCCATGTCATGTCTTGATTGTCCTACCAACATATTTTGAACCCATTTGATCATGTTAAAACTTTTGCTTAACAACACATGATTGATTCCACCCGCATTTTGACCTTTAACAAAGTCATTCATGCCAAACCTTTACCATGCCCGTGCCTATATCGAGTTACTTGGTCAGGATCTTTACAGATACAATTTGTGTTTGTTGTTCATATGCTATTTAATGATTTATTGTTTGATATTGTGTTATTTATTATGTTTTTTACCAAATTAAGATGATTCGTCTAGGAGCGTAGTGTTACACAAGACTTTCTTTTTAAAAAAAAATAATAACAATACACACAAAGGATTGTTACCGAACACATGGTGAAATTAATATTTTTTTAAAAGGACAGCTTCTCATCCGCCGGAGTGTTCATGGATTCGTGTTTCATGTTGCTTATGTCTATTATCGGGGATTTCTATGTGTTTGCTATTTGTAACATTACATAGTATCAAGTTCTATACGATCGACAATCATAATCAATTTGTGATCTTGGTTGTTCAGCAAAGTGATTAGTAGTTTTGGATTGATCAACATGTGCTTCGTTGACTAAGTTTCTCCGTTATTGGAATAGATGCATGAGTAAATTTTTTATCCCTCTTTTTAAGGGTTTTAATAACATGTGATTTCGAAGATTAAGGATCATCCTTCTTCAACTTTTCAATGTTTACCTTTGTCATATCTTAATGATAATGAAGTTTTTTAAATCTATTTTCAGTCTAATTAATGTCTTCATTAAAAAAAAAGCACAACGAATGTTAGATTCATTCAATTGTGTCAAATCAACACTAAATGATATTGCATCTTCCATATTTATCAAAGATCGGAAGAAACAAAGAAAGAAAATTGAAAAACAATGAATGAACACACAATCGGAGAAGAGAGAAAGATACATATTTCACATCGAAATTGTTTTGAAAAGAAAAAAATAATTTCGAATTTCAAACTACATAAAGGAATTAACTAAAAAGATCACGGAAATAAAGAATGAGAGAGATTTGTGGAGTGAATCACGAAGGGATAAATAGGGGTTTGGGGAGTGGGAGTTATGTAATGGGAGCGCTCAAAATAAGGAATTTTGATTAAATTTAGAAATGGTAGGAAATAATTAGAATTATGAAAAGAAGGTGTGGATATAGGTAATTTTTCCTAAATATTTTTTATTTTTAAATTTTTCATGAAATTTTTTTATCTTAATAAAATATTACGAAATGGTGTGATGGTTCCTTATACTTGTATGATTTTGTATTCTAAACCCTCTTAGCTAACACTTTGTTAATTAAATCTTTAAAATCATTAAAACACAATATTTTAAACCTTTTTCTGATCCTGTGTGTTACTCAACCATGTGTAATTCCATGTCATTTTCAATAACACACAAGAAATTAAATTATTAAGAAAATAAAAAATAATATTTAACTTTTAAAAATATTTGAATAGCCATTTTCTTCAACCTCCATATATGCTCCCAATTTGAGCACCAAATTCACCTCAAATAGATAAAAAAATATCTTTATTTGACTTGAAATTTCAGATAGAAGTTCATAAACACAGATCCTTCTAGTCACAATCACAAATTTGAATTAATTTTATGAATTCATAAGACCATTTGTTGTTCTTCAAGTTTTCTCAAACTTATCATGGAGTTTTCAATTTTTTCTTACCCACCATCATTCTTTACATTAATTCATATTTTACCTTCTCTTTAAATCCAGCACAAAAAATGGTTTTAACTTTTAAAATAAAGAATATTAAAAATTTAAATAAAGGGGGCAGAAAAAAAAAATTAGGTGTCAGATTTTATTTGTTGCAAAGAGGAGAGTGGATTGAAAAACCAAAAAAAGAAGAAGAAGTATATGACGGATTATTTCAAAGAAAAAAAGAAAATGAATGTGGCGGAATTTTGTTCTTGAAGAAGAGAAGAAAGTTTAGGGTTATGGAAGGGAAGAGCGGTGGAGAAGAATAGAAATTGAGGTGGGGTGGAGTGGGAGAGCGTTTATGAAGAAATATATTTTTTTTAATTAAAAAAATATTTTAAAATAGAAAATAGTTTAATGACGTGTTTGGAAATGAGTGCATTTACATATTTTTCCAACTCAGCAATATTTATTCCGCATATGTTTGATCAATGGTCAGAAGTGTTTGGAAGCGAGTGCATTTACGTATTTTTCCAACTCAACAATATTTATGTCATATAGGCTTGATCAATGGTCAGAGGGGTTACAAATATTATGTTTTAATAAGTTTAAGGGTCCAGTTGACAAAGTATAAAGTAAGAAGGTACATAACACAAATTCGTACAAATTAAATATAAGGGTCCATCAAACCATTTCACCTAAAATACTTAAGAAATTATTTTTAAAAAATGTTTAATAAACCCCACCCCCTCAACTTTGCAATTTAGAGCTCGTTATATAAGTGTCTACATATATTCTCACTCGTACACAAATGACCTAGATATATTTCTTTAGACGAAAATGGTATATTTGAGTCATTATATAAACAAAAAAGAAAAATCATATGGTTAAGCAAACATATATTAGTTCATTAGTCATTATAACTATAGTTTTAGTTAATTACCACTTGCTACCAACATTTAGTTATAATTACATGGGCTAGTGTTTCAAGTTTGTATAATTTGCACATCTTTTTAATTTGTATAACAAAATTTGTATAACTTTTATATAATGTAATTTTGTATAAAATAATTTGTATAACTATTTAAAGTTTAGATGTTTGTGTTTGTAGAAAAATTTGTTATTTTGAGTTGATAAAGAAATAGCTTAATTATTCAAAGATACTCACGAATCATACAAACTCAATCCTGAATTATACAAACTCAGGAATTTTACAAACTCATGAATTATACAAACGAGACAACTTAAACTGTAGCTACATCTCATAAATATGCAAAATATAGCTATTAAACATAATTAAGTCCATTATAATGACTATTAGCAAAATTTTCCCTATTAATAAAGATAAAATATATGTGAGCCATGTTATTGACAATGTTAAATCCACTCTAAATCGTAAAATTGAGTAATAAAAAGGAAAAATTACTGAAATACACATCTTATTTTCCCCTTATTTTCAATAGGAAAACTTTCACATATAGCAAACATAAAATTTATATTTGTATGCTATAACAAAGTTTGCATAATTGCACTCCATAACAAACATATATGTGTATAATTCTCTATACATATACAATTGAAGCGAATTGTATAAAACAAAGTGTATAAAACGAGAAAGAGAAAGAGACATGGGCAGAGAATTGCATAAAACGAATTGTATAATTATAAGTGTATAGTACGATTATATACAATTTGAATTTGTATAAAATTAGAAAGAGAGAAAGACAAAAGAGACTTGGACAGGGAATATACAATTGAATCGAATTGTATAAAATGAGAAAGAGAGAAATTATATACAATTTGAATTTGTATAAAACGAGAAAGAGAGAAAGGCAAAAGAACTGGGTAGGGAACTATTTTTATTGTATAATTATAAGTGTATAGGATGAAAATATATGTATTTCCATGTGTATATACAATTTTCTCTCACTTTATACAAACGGAAACACAATTTATACATTTCGTTTCTGTTTGTATAAGTGAGAGAGGCGAGGGTGGCGAGCGAGATAAGAAAGAGTGACGAGCGAGATCTGGGAGAGGGGAACAAAAATATATGTATTTATACAATTTCCTCTTACTTTATATAAATAGAAACATATTTTATACATTTGTGTTTGCATAAAAGTGAGAGGAAGCGAGCGAGAGAGGAGAGTGACGCGCGAGAGTTTGAGGGAGAGAGATGACTGACAAACAGTTTACTACATAGCACAATTAAATCAAAGGGTAGTTATAGCAATTAATTTGATTTATTAGTTTGTCATTATATACAATTTTTCCTTTTTAATATCCCCTTCTATTTTTAAAAACATTTAAAATCTTTTATTTCTTTAATGTATCCGAGCCTATATTTAATGTATCCGATTTATTTTATAATGTCTCTGAGCTAGTTTTTAATGTATCCGAGGTGCATATTATGTATTTGATTTATGTTTAACATATCCGAGATACTCTTTAATGTATACAAACTACATGTAATATATTTGATTTGTGTTCTTTTAAGAAATTAATATAGTTACAAATTAAAAGGAGATAAAATTGTAATTTCATGTTAAAATCATGTAATTTATAAAATTTATCCTTATAAAAAAGCCATATCTGTGCCAAAATGCCCCCCAAATATGTATGATCACCTTTAGTTCTTCTCAAAAAAAAAAAACAAAAAAAACCCACCATTGCCCATATATCCAAATACAGCCCACAAGTTCCACATTAATCAGATAGCAATCAAAAGCAAGAAATGGCAGTTTCTTCACTATCCTTTACATTACCTAAGCTTCAAACCTTCACTCCAAAACCCACCATTGCAGCCACTTTTAAGGCTTCTTCTTCACATGAATCAACTCCTTTTATCAACAAGAAGCAAATTTTCCAAATGGGTGTTGGAATTTTGGCTGCTTCAATAGTGGCTTCAGCACCTTTAGATGCTGATGCTACCAGAATTGAATACTATGCCACTACTGCTGAACCCACTTGTGAGTTCAATTTTGTCCGTTCTGGACTTGGGTATTGTGACATTGCTGTTGGGTCTGGTGAAGAGGCTCCATATAATAAGCTCGTTAATGTAAGTGTGTACGTCTATTGAAGCTTAAACACTAGCATTTTCGTGTGTTTGCCGTTTGGCGTTGATGCGTATTGTTGGAATTGCTGTATAATTTCTCCTAAAGTTCGTTTGTTGTTCAATTTAAAATTGACATTTTGCTTTCAAGAGTTCAGTGGTGCAGAGAATGTTGCGGTCTGTTGTTTTCTCGTGATGAATCAATTCCTATTTATCTATATATAACACTTTTGGTCAGTCAAATATTTCGGAACTCCACCTGTTAGATTTGTGTTTTCTTGATAACCGTGGTGTTTGGACCTACTAGGGTAGAAGATTTGTATGGGTGAAGTGTTGTTTTGCCATGCGTAGGTTTAGGCTTGTTAGTGCCTTATCGTAGTAGTCGTACCCTTGTAATTCTGGTCTTTATGTAGCGTACAAAATATGACACTATTTTGTTGTTATTGTTGTTGTTTTTTGTTTTTTTTTTATAGATTTTACACTGCTTTTCTTATTAATGACTATGTTTCTTCATCGTTTTCTACTTCTTTTACTTGGATTTGATGCACTTTGAGCTGAGGGTCTTTCGAAAACAGTCTTTCTACCTCCTCAGGCTAGTGGTAAGATTTGCATAGACCCTACCCTCCTCAGACCTCACTTAGTAGGATTTCATTGGGTAATGTTGTTGTTCCATCAATCTAACCGACTGTTAAACTTTTGACAAACTTAAAGGACCGAAATTGTTAGGTGCATACTTAAGGAGCTATTTTAACCAATCCTCAAACACAAGGTGTTATTTTATGATGCCACCTATGTATTGAAAAAACTAGATTCTTCAGCAACTATGTAAGAAGTAAATGCGGAATGAAGTAAATCATTTTTTTCATGAAAAAACTCCTCTCCCAGGAGCAAAAGAGTAAGGCCTACCTCATAGAATTTCCCTCTCAAATTACCACCAAATTTGAGTTACAATTTTAGGTTACAACTAATCAAGGAGCTAACCACTGTACACCTATCCCTTTCTACAGTTCTCCCTAACCGTAGCTCACTTCTTCAACAAATCATGACCCTTTATATAGGAATAGATGACTGCTTCTTGTTTTTCCAACAAGGATTAGTTCATGAATCCAATATTCTAATCCAAGTTTGATTAGGTTCTTCCTTCGCACATCAACGACTGTTTTGCTCCTATTTCCAAAGCTTTTCCCATGTACCAAATATGATAATGCTGCCATATTCTTTTCTTGTTCCTTGCTTGATTGGATTATCCGGAATCCTTCTACGCACTTGGGATCTGCTTTGCCATCGATCAACTATCTTCTTCAAGTCTACTGTGAAGGACCTGGTTCATTCCCTCCTAGCAGTATACTCTTGATATCATCTATTGTAGTAGACATATAAAGGAACTGGTTCTTCAATAGTTCGTTGTCATAATCACGACCAGTCCTTTTCTGAGTCATGTATGATATATGATTTTTGTATGTGTTCGTTGTGTTTTGCTATTCATTTGTTAATCATCAAAATTTCATAATATTAGCATAGCTTGTAGCTCTCTAGCTCACATAACTCTCCCTAGCTAATGTAGCTCAACTTAAGGGATCATTTTTGTCATTTTCTCGTACTCGTATCTTGATTATCCTAACAAGTTTCTTCGATGAGGTTCTAACGTTGTAGTATTATTGTTGGAATAACAAAAGAAAACAATTATATGTACAAATATATTTCTCTTCTCTGGCATGATACCGTGAAAATGAAATTCAAAACTATGTGATTGATATGTCATTTTGAAAGTCAAAAAGAAAAAAAAAGACTGGATTAATGAAAATAAAAATAGAAGAGTTAAGTTCCACGCTTTGACGATGTTAAAAATATTTAAACTATCAGGTTACCTATAAGGTAATTGCATATAAATTTTTGTAAGAAGATTAACCAGTAACTTGGTAAAATTGATAGTTGACCTGTGATCACAGGTTAAATTAGACTGATGGTGTAAAAATTCTATATACGGGTGGATAAAAGGAAAAAGAGTTGTTTTTGTCTTCTATTGTTCATCGAATAGAGCAGAGTAATGAGAAATATAAATTGAAGTTATTAGAGGATTGCATCTTTAGTATTTTGTGCTGAAAGACGTGATTGAGCGAAGAAAGAAGAAATGGTCATTGTTTGCCTTTTATTTTCCCCATGAGGACATACCACTGCCTCTTTAGTCACACAGGAAAATAAATTTTTGTCTTGTGTATCTAATATCTCTAATTTCTCTTGAACTTGAGAATGGTTTGTTGAGTATCCTATTCATGCAGATTCACTATACTGCAAGGTTTGGGGATGGTATAGTTTTTGACAGCAGCTATAAACGTGGTCGAGCCCTTACCATGCGCCTCGGCATGGGCAAGGTATGTTACCATTAGGGTCCGATGTGAGTTATCGTAACTGGTGGTATATAATCTGATCTGTATTACCTTCGGCACTGCTTGTCTGTCCCAGATTATAAATTAGGACCAGTTATCTATCAGACAGACAGTTGAAAAGGTTACTTCAATACACTATGTGCATCAAAACATCATAAACAATGTATGAAGTTGGATGAATATCTATGTACTGACAAAACTAAATATGTTAGCAGTTTGAAGAGAACAATGTAAAAGACACTGTCATTCGATTTAGCAACTGTTAAGGCATCATCATGCATGTTGTATCATCAATTTTCATTTCCACTGTTTTCTTGACTTCCTTTAATATTTGAAGTCGAAAGTAGTTATCTTACTTTACAAAAGCGAGTCTCTGTCAAGCACTACCATCGTCCAACTTCACTTCACTTTTCGGCTCTATTAGGCTAGTCTTACCCTCTATTAACATCTTCCCTATTCCTCTGTGCTATCAATTCATAATTTTTGCTACCAAGATCTTTTATCCATGCTTACCAAAAAAAAGAAAAAAGAATTGTTTATCCTCACAAAAGAGAAGGAAAAGGAATGAAGAATAAGAGAAGCTCACAGAAGGAAACAACCATGTTTTGGGATTTGAAATGGAGTAGAATGGAATAAGTCTATTTCCATGTAGCGTCAACAACCTCATTTGATTATTGACTATAGGAAGACAGAAATAATGTAATGATAACCAGTTCTTTCAGTAAGCCATCACTTTTTTCTGTTATAGAATCTCTTTTATATATATGCTGATAACCAACTTACACCTCAAATTGCAATCAAGATGGCATCCAAGAGCTTATCTGAGGCTCATAATAAAAGGTATACATGAATAAAAAACATAAACGAGAAACTAAATGAAGAATATAGTTTTTAAATTTTTTTGCAGTATCTTATCTACAATTTGTGAACTCCAGAGCATGTTGTTGACAGGTGATCAAGGGATTAGATCAGGGAATCTTGGGAGGTGAAGGGGTACCACCAATGCTAGTTGGTAAGATTTTACAGCTGATTAGAGCCTCCTGTGGATCTTTTGCGTGTTCCTTTTTTAGTATTCCCAGTATAGTTCACTTTAGAAGTTTTAATACATAGGTGGAAAACGTAAGCTTCAGATTCCTCCACATTTGGCATATGGACCAGAACCAGCAGGCTGCTTTTCAGGTGTGTTTGTGTTACTCAGCTAACCTTTTCCATCTCTGTAAATAAAAAGAAGATATTCAGTCGATAGCAGTTATTTACACATTAATAAAGATAATGTTTTTTTATCTGTGTAGGAGACTGCAATATTCCTGGAAATGCAACACTTGTATATGACATCAAATTCGTTGAATTATACTCGGGAAACAGGAAAATGTGATATGATGAGAAATATGAAGCTCAAACACAACTAGTGAGTTCCTAAGACACCTTGTGATTAAGTTTTTCTTCCTTACTTGTTTTGTTATATCATGGTGTCACACTTGCTTTTGTACTCCCTCCCTCCTTTCCAATCTGGATGTCCCTAGTAAGTGTTACTATATGGGACTTGCCTATATGAGATTCAGGATGATAGTTGAAAACTTAAAATGTATATATAATGGAGTGTCAAAGAAATATCACACCTAGTTAAAAGTTGTAAAAGAATTTGAGCATGTGGTTGTTTAGTCTGTATCTGGAAAAAAAAAATCACCCTTTGGGGTGGCCCAGCAGTTTGGGCTTGGGACTTCCATGTTGGACGTCTAAAGTTTGAAACCCCTTGGCAGCAAAAGCAATGGGTTTGCCTTCTGGGTCGAGCTCATCGCACTGTGCTTGGCTGGTGCGAGTTACCTCTCTTGTGTGGTTTGCGAGCTATTGCTGCTGGTTTCCCTTGTCATAAAAAAAAAGACTAACAAAAATAAAAGGTATATATTTATATATGAACTACGCCTAATTCCTAAACTAGTTGGGTTAACTTTATGAGACCTCAAATTAGTTTGACTATATTTACGCTAACCTTCATCGTTCTGTATATCTCCTTTATCTAGGCTTGTAACCTGTTTTACTTTGCACATATGTGGGATTTGTATGCTTACATTTTTAGTTAGAATTATCATATTAGGGATTTCCATTCCAAAAGACGGTCAAGTAGCTTGGTTACAAGGGAAAAGTCTGGGACAGAGTAAGTAGCACTGAACGTTATTTTCGGGGGGAACTTCACGAGACATAAAAAAAATTGTATCTACTAACATGTCATTGCTAAATGATTCCCGTGCATGATTTTTCCAGTGGCTTATCATATTATGTTTATTATTGATGAATTAAGCAAAAGTTAACTGCACATATGGAAAAGAGAAGATTAGAAGGAAGAATGAGTTACTGTTTCTGATTACTAGAAGACTGATAGCTCTCTTAATTACTGTTCCTAGAGAGAGTTTCCAACACTAGATATTCAACATAGTTATTCACCTGGAGAGTAATGCCTGCAACTTTCGGAACAAAGCTCCTACAACATTGTACAAAGGAGTGTGTTTCATTTTCTAAGCAGGAAATGCCATACAACCAGATAACAGGAAAGTCAAAGAAAGACTGATGAGTGAATTCATGGTTTACCCAGTCCCTTGTTTCATTCTAATAAATGAACTCAGGATGACTCGATACAAATATTCTATCTTCTGAACTCTAGCTGGCTTTGGTGATGTTTTCTCAAGAAAGACACTAAAGTAAAATCCCGCTCCCTCTGGGTCTGCGACACTTAAAGAAATAGAATTAGTACAATTTTCTAGATAGGTCGTCTGTAATAAGCTCAATATAAAGGTAAACCAACCTGCTATTGTTCCTGTTTACCACATCCTTTTTTCATCAGTAAAGGGTAGATTTTTTGAATAAAAGTAGTACCAAGCTAGTACTGAGCTAACTAAACCATTTCTAAGGAATGCCTCAAAAGCTGAAAGCATTCCAAAAAGTTCAGCTTACAGTAATATCAGTAGCAAAATCAGCAGTACAGGATTTGTTTTTAACGCTGGATAAATCTTTTTTTCCACAGTGAAGAATTCTTCTCCTTCCCCTCGAAGCATTTGCAGTTTTTCTCAATCCAATCACTTGTTAAGAGAATGGACATTGGGCCAAACTCAACCTCAAAAATTAGCTCATGAGGTGAGGATTCAATTGTCTATCCCCAAACATTGTTGGGACTACTTACAAACCCTGCATGCCCAGGCTTACTGAATGGAGTATGGACAAACATAAAATGGAGGCCCAACATCAATAAATTAAGATTTGGGATTGTATAGCTCCGATACATATTGAGAAAATGGACTTTGGTCTTAATCAACCCTAAAAGCTAGCTCATGAAGCAACTTTTGCCCAATTGCCCACCCCACAAACAATGTGGGACTACTACGAATACTCCACATCATGCAAAATGGAATGGTCTTCCTGTCTTCTTCGTGTCTTTCTTCATTTTCTGGCTTTGCCAATCGTATAGGACTTACTTTACATTTGTAGGCGTAACCCACTGGACTCCAGAAAGGTTGAGAAACACGCTCCAGAGTTAGTATTCAAAGATCATGCCACCACCTATGGAAATGTCAAAAGAAGATATTGGTTGGACGTACAATCTGCCTTGACTCTATTGCACTCTGGTCTTGCTAGCACCTCTAATTGAAATGCTGACCCATCCACAATATGTCAATATCCACTGTAGTTAATGATAAAAAAAATAACCATCGTTGTTAGTGAACATGAGATGCCACTTTCAAGTATTCACCAGTTTAGTTTTATGGTGAATTTCTTCGAGTATTGGACTCTGCTATGCCAATTTTTTTTGTATGTTGTGGATGTATAGGAAATCATGGTGACTGTTGCCTACAATGATAATAGTGATAAAAATCTAGAGTGATTTTAGATAGAGAGATTGGTTTTCGTAACTTTTGGCACCATAATTGGTTAGATCATGGCAGCATGTGAGGAAACTATATTCTGGTAAAGCAAACGTATTCATATCTTACCCTCTGTTAGGAACATTAATTTTCATTTGAATGTCATAGTAAGCACTCATCCTTCTGTGTGCTTCCTCTCATTTGGCATGATATGTATGTTTAGAGCTACTCGAAATCTGTGGGCTTACAGGGTAAGAAGTTTCAATATACTGTAGGTTGCATAACTAATACTGGAAGATCTTGTGCAGAAAATATTGACTTCTCATTTCTTCAATGATATTGGGGCTTGTTTAATATACTGACATATTGTTGATGTGTGACATTAGGATCCACCCAGAATTAGTTTGAATGAAGATATAGAGCAAAAGGTGACAGAATATTTTTCTAGAGGGAATAAAAGTAAGTCAAGAAACAGATTTTTTTTTTCCATACAAGATGCAACTTACCTAATGGTGAGTGCTTGCAGGTGCCAACTTTCTGGGATCATTTCTGAGCTGGTAATCTAAGTTCCTAACATTGTGTATAATTGACTGTTATACTTGATTTAAGCATGTGCAAACTAGAGGTTTATGTTCAAAATACTTGAAAATCTTGTATAATTATTTTATGTATATTTTGTGACGGATACTTGAAAATCGTGTATAGTTATATTATCTATATTTTGTGACGAATACCGTTGAAATTAAATGTAAGTTCATCGTTCACCTATATAACATGAAGTCGAAAAGAGTCTGGACAATTCCATTTGTCCTCTTTTCCTTTTTGTTTCAATAATAATGGTGTCTGAGCTAGTTTTGTTTCATCTCGACTTTTTTAAAGTAATTTTAAAATGAACAAACAAACAAAAATTTGTATATAACAATATCTTATCATTAGATAAAACTACAAGTAATTACGTGTTTAAAGCGCAACAAAAAAAGTTAATAGATCTTCTTTACATGTTTAAAGCGCAACAAAATAAGTTAATACATCTTCTTGTTAAAAAGTTGTTTGTGTTTAGTTTTCTAATTATTAAGTTTGAACAATACATATTTCAAGAATGTTTAACCTCTTTTTGAATCAAAGGTGAAACTAACTTTTTAAACAAAAATATCTATCTTATTAAAATTTCAAAATAAATACATATTTAAAAAAAAAACAAATAATTATGTTTTACTAATAAGTTTATTAAGATATACCTCATAAGAAGGGTAAGTATATATATTTTAGGGTCATGTGTTTAATTTTAAATATAAAAAATATATTTAAAATTAAATCATATAAAAAAGTCTCGAGTATACTAATTCGGCATATTATATAGTCATTTCCATGTAAGAAGTTTGAAAGATACGTATTTTTAAAATAATATTTATTCGATCTTTTAATAAAAAATTTCAACAAAAATGTTTGTCCACTTAAATCGATAAAGAATAAATATGTAGGAACATTTAAATTGTAATTTTAATCATTTTCTATATTCAATTGATCATATATTTAATTATTAGTATACCTCATGTTTGTTTTTTCATAAAATTAAAACTTAATATTTTATATTGAAAAGGGAACATTATGCAAACAAATACTTGTGTAAAAATTTCATGATATATTAGTGATTGTCAAATTGATCTATAAATACTTTTGATTTTTATGTATATTTTTATTTAAACACAACTATTTTATTTATATAACAAGTTTCAATATTTGATTTCTTTTCATATATAACGAGCTGATTACAATTAGCTCTAAATAGGTCCTTAATACATAGTGAATCATAATACATAGTATCATGAAGTAATTCATGAAAAGTCGTATGAAATTCTGGTTACTTTTTTCATTTAATTAGTGTGTATTTGAACATATATTGTAGTGAAATTTAAATAAAGTAATTTTTTTTTAAAAAAATGAACGATATTTGAAAATTAGAATGATGTTTACCTATAAATATAAATCAAAACTATTTTTTATTTTTTGTGAATAATTTAACATGAAAAGAATTTTTTTAGAAGTATTTTTAAAATTCTGAAATTCAATTTCAAATTAAATTTTGAAACTTTATAACCAAATGCATTTTTCCAAAAGCCCCCAATAAAATTAAAAAATTTCACCAAACGTGTCCTTAATATAATTCATATTGAAGATGAAAGAAAAATAAAACACATACATAATACAGATAAACCCTAAACCCTGAAAACGCCTCAACTGAAGTGAAAATTGCTCTTTGTTCTTCAGCCAGTTGTTACAAATATGGCATACTGTCGACAGAGAGATTTTATGTTCTGTGAAATGTGTGGAACAATGCTTGCTTTTGATTCACCCAAGTATGCTCGATGTCCCTTATGCAAATTCAAGAAACGTGTCAAAGGTTTAATCTTTTTTTCTTAATCTTTACTTTTCTCTGTAATTGAAGCAGTTATGAAGCGTTTTACTGCAAATTCTTGCTCTAACATGTTAATTGACTAAGTGTAGCATGTGCCTTATTTTTAACTTTCTTGCCCATGTTTTATTTGCTTAGTTAATCCATGTTTGAAGGCATGACACTGCCAAGCTCTAGCTAGACATTGATTTTAGAGTATGGGTGTGTTTGATATGACGAAAAATGTGTTCTTGAGTTTTTTAGGAAAATAAGTTGGTTTCTTAGTTATTATCTTGTGTTATGTAGGTGAACAGAACATGTTATTCTGAAAGCATTTGTGTATTATCTAGGCAAATATTGTGAGACGCGGGTGTGGTGGGGATGGGGGCTATATGGGTGAGGGTGGATATGAGGTGTGTTGGGTGGAGAGGATACAATCAAAGTATCAATGTGGAATGCTATTTATGGAACTTATTTCCCTTACTTCCATTAGATTAGTGTTTTCAAATTTTGTAAACCAACCCGAACACGCTGTAGATCTTTTATGTCCTTCACTATGAGGAAAAAAAGCACTGTATATCAAACCTAAGACATTGTTAATAGCATCTTTTAATAGGCAGTGGCAGGTGCTGCCATAGTTTGTTGAAGAAGACTAAAGAGGCAAAGAAGTAGTGTTAATCCTCGGTCTACAGATGTTTCTTCTATCAAGGGTGTTAAATAGCATAAATACACCCAGTCACACACATTTTTAATCATGTTCTTTACTTCTGTAAAAACTGAAATTTTCTGCTAGGAATCTAATTGAACTCCCTTCTTACCATGTAAATTCACCAATGGACTGTGGTGTGTGGATCAGGTTATGCCACACCTTGCCTAATTCCATTGAATAGCTTGTTACAGTCCACAAGAAATAGGTGTCAAGTAAACCCGTCCTACATGGATGGAGGTCTCATTCCGACTGTTGTAGTGTAGGTCAGAACCTAAGAGCTCCATTATTTTACTCTTAGACCTCATCCTCTCAGGCATCTCTTTGGTACTAGTAAAAAGCATGTTATTTGTCCGTAGTTTGAGGGTGTCTTTAGAGAGGCCAGTACAATGAAGTTGATACCTTTAGGGTAAAAATGGTTTGTCCAAGGTTCTTTTTGTTTTCTATTGCAGCTGGTACAGGTGCTACAAGTTGTTACCTGCTAATATAGTGACTAATTCTAAAATTGAAGGTTAGTTTTGCCATGATCGATTGAAAGACACATAATGCTTTCATAATGATTATGAATCATCTGTCTATTTCTTCAAAAATGAAGAATTTTTGTGAGATTGCCTCATTGTATGTTTGTCAGCCAAAACACTGACTCATCTTATGTCTTCTATTTCTTTTAACTGGAATTAAATATTCTTTGTTGACAACAATTGTTTCTCTTGTTTGATTTTTCTAGAGATCGCTGGAAACGAGATACAGTATACCGTTTCTGCTGAGGTATGCTTTAATTAGTGAATGTATTGAGCTTTAATTAATGCATGTATTAAGATGGAAATGAGAAAGCTGAATGTAATACAAAAGTTGCTAAAGAAGCTGTTTGAAATGTTTTTAATCCAATGATATTCTGGTGTTTAGAGTTCAGGAAATGTTTGTTCTGTCTTTTTCTTTTCTTCAGAAATAAGTTCTACGCAACTTAAAAGGCATATAGTGGAAAGTCCATATAATACTAAACATAGCCATGTAGTAGTTCAAGTTTTCCATTTGATGTTAAGGAGTGATGAAGTATGATGTGGAATTGATTGTCTGATCATGTCCACCAACAGCAGTTTAAGTTAAAGTTTTGACAAGAACGGTGCTTGTCTGTTTGAGGATATGGAGAACTGCCTTCACGTATTACTTGTAATAATTTACTCATCAGAATCTCTTTTTTAGTTGTATTTAACCTCTACTCACCAGGTGCTAAGTGATTCAGATTACTTTTTGGATCAATGTTAGCAAAGTACATAATCACGTGCCTGTGCCCTGTCTATAATAGTTACCCAACGTTTTAAGCTGAACTCCTAAGAAAATCATCCAAAAGTGGAAGTTGACAGCCTAACAGGTAGCCCATGGAATTAGTTGAGGTGCGCGAAAGCTGGCACGGATACCACGATCATCCAGAAAAAAACTAGAAAATCATCCAAAAGTTAAAAGAAAATGTGTAAAAAAATGATCAACTTATTCACCTTAGCTTGACTTTCTGTTGTCTAAGAAGGCATTTTCTCTTCTTGCCCCCTCCTATTTCATAGTCTTTGCAACAATGTTCTCGTGTCCCTTGTTCTTCCCGTCTACTTGTGTCACTTCAATTTGTATAAATAATTTGGGTACACGTAACTTGCCTTCTATCTCATCATGTTTTCTCTAAGAGTTGTTTCCCATATTCTTTCCTTCAATTATTGTTGCTTAATGTTGTAATATTGTATAGTTTTTTTGTAGTACTAAACATGTTCTCTTAAACAGAGATGTATTTTTGTTAGTTTTTTTGGTGTTATCTGGTTATTGAACATTATGTTGATGGAATGCTTATACATAAAAGAAGGATTGCACAACCTGTAATTATGCCTGATGCACTGGCTTAGTAAATAAATTTACAAAAGCATTAATCACTTATAAAAAAAAGTCCCCTATAGATTGTCAAAAGCTGGTTCAAAGTTACGTGGAATGCCAATTAGGATCCAAGTTGCTTCTACCTTTCCATTTCCATATATATTCTAGTTGTAGTTCTGAACTTTAGTGTTTCATTTTCTGGGTTTCTGTGGGTACATTGGTGATTGTACTACTGAGAGTTGATTTGTCATTTAAGTCCTTAAAAAAAGAGAGTTGATTTGAGTTTTGACTATTGAGTGCTTGTTACTGCGGTCAGTCAATTCTTTTGATAGGACGGTCATTTCCTCACTGTTGGTTTAAAATGTCCAGTTTCAGCTCATGCAAACTCATTTTGCATCCTAGTAATAGTAATGGTTTTGGACTCTTGCTAAATAAATTCATGCTACTCCAGTTTGAGGAATGAACATTTAACATGTGTTCTGCATTAGCAGTTAGTAGTGAATGACAAGCGACATAGCATTACTACTCTTCTAGTTTCTTGGCATTTCTACATTTTTACTCATTTAAAGGCATTGAATTCCCTGGAAACTGATGGGGAGCCCTTAAATTGTAAAAGGGTTGTTAGAGGAAGGAGGTTTCAGAGTTCACCTGCTGAATAATTGCTAGCACATGAGGAGTGCATTTGAATATTTTCCCAATGGCCGCATGAGAGGAGAGAAGTTGAGGTGAGACTAGATGGATTGCAGTGTCATTAGATATTTAGGCTCATTTTCCTAAGAGAATAGAATCATAGATGAAGATGTTTGTCATAGG